CGAGCGAGAAGGCCGACTCGGCCGGGAGGTACTCCCGTGCGGGCTTCGAAATTGTCGGCATTCCATACCCCGGTACGCGTGGTTCCCCCTTGCCCCTTTCCTCTCCAGTACACGGAACTGGAGAGGAAAGTGCCCACGGCCACACGTGCACGCGCACATACATACATACATAGATACAAACATGCAAACATGCATACAATCAATTAACCAACCAACCAACCAACCAACCCTCCCCCTCCCCTCCCTTCCGCCCGGTGCCCCGGCATTGGTAGGTTGCGAGTTTTTCAAGGACTTCCGTGACCGCGGCTACTGCGCCCGACAGCTCTACTATGATTGGGATCTGTGGTTTGTCAACGCACCGCTGTCGATCCCTGCGCCGCTCAGTGCCATCGTACCCGCCGGCCACCCGACCCCGAGCGCCTTCTGGTCGCAGTACCAGTCTTGGGATCTCATCCACCTGACACGAAACTATCTGGAGTTGATTTTCGGCGCCCTCACCAGTGGAGAGCCGGGTCCGACCCAGCACCACCGGGCTACGCCCCCCGGATCGAGTGTCGGAATGAAGGACGGCTCGGTGGACTCGCGCTCCAATGGCATCCTCGTCCACTGCATCTCCGGTGCGTCACACCGACCCCCGCCCCCACAGATGCTCTCTGCACCTGTCCCTTGCTTGTGTCGCCCTCGCTCCATCGCACCCTGGCCCGGCCCTCCCGGCAGGCCTTCGAGCCCGTGTCATTCCTAATGTGCTCCTCCGTCGGCTCGTCTGGCACAGGCTGGGACCGGACTCCGCTCTTCATCTCGCTCATCCGCATCCTCCTGTGGGCCGCTGGCGAAGCGCACGCCAGCCTCTCGGCCGTGGAATTCCTCTATTTCACGGTGGCCTATGACTGGCTGCTCTTTGGGCACCAGCTGCCGACGCGCATCCAGAAGGGCGAAGATATCTTTGCCTTTTGCTTCTATGTGCTGGCTTTCCTGACGGACATCGCGATCGCTCATCAGGCCGGGCAGGCCGAGTCAGACGCCCCAGGTCCCGAGGCCACCGAGTCGAAGGCCATCCCGACGCCGTCTGCCGGCCCCGGGGCCCCGGACGCCAGCGCCCCGGCCGGCAGCCTCAAGTGCACCCTGTTGGCGACTGAGCCAGCCTCCGGGGGGGGTCCGCCCCTGCCCGCTGGGACAAGCTTCCACCGGCAGGCCCCCACCTCCTCGGAGGCGGACCTGGCCTGGCCCGGGCCAGGCTCGCTGCGGTCCAGCCGATCGCGCACGCTCTCCTCGTCATCCTCCTCCTCGGTCTCCCTGCCGGAGACGCCCTCCCTCGGCGGCGGAGGAGAAGGGGGCGACACCGGGTCCACCTCGTCTCAGGAGTTCTCCTCGTCGGTGGGATCGCTGGGAGCGGCGGCGGCCGCGGTGGCCGGTCCTTTCGGTCCGGCGGCGCTGTCTCCGCCGCCGCCCCACCGGCGGCCCTATTTGGAACTACCGCTGGAGTCGCCCGCCACCGGGCACCGTGCGAAGAAGGCCGGCCGGCCCTTCCCCCCGCTGGCGTCCGGAGATGGCCAGGCAGGCAGTCTGTCGGATGATGCGGGAGATGGGACGGCCCTCCGTGAGGGTGAACTGCTGAGTCTGATGCCGGGGCCCCTCCCGGACGAGGTGTCTTCCTTCGACCCGGGGAGGGCAGGCGGCGGCGGCGGCGGCCTGGCCGGCGGCCGGCTTCTATTTGACAGTGATCCTGCTGGGGCGGGGAGCGCCGCCGTGGGCCCTGTCCTGCCTGCCTCCCCGACGGTGGTGGTGACCCGCCGTGGGTTTGCCGCGCCGCAAGCGGCCGTGGTTGCCGCACCGGCCGGGGCCCGTCTCGGCCCGGCCCCGGCCACCACCCAGCGGTCGCACTTTGCGCAGACGCATGCGGCCGCCGAGCCTCCTCCTCCGATGGGTCCGGCCGCGGCCGCGGCCGTGGCGGTGATGTTCCCGACCTCGGCACCCCGACCGGCTCCCGATGCGCCGACCCTCCGGCTGCTGGAGCTGCGCATGCTCTTCCGGGACATCTACTTCGAGATCTCCGGCAACCAGTTTTCATGAGGCAGGTCCCTCTCCTCCCCCTGTCTCTCCCCCTCTCGTTCCGTCCCCCTTCCCCCCCCCCCCCGAACCGCTGAAAGGGCCGGGGGGCGGGGGCCGCGCGGGCCCGCCCGTGCACGCATCCGGCGGCGACCCGCGGCGGCAGGGGTCCAGACGCGGGGTCTTTTCTTCCGCCCCACATCCTCCCGCCGTCTTCTCCGGCCTCTCATATGCCGACGCACATGTGTGCGTCAAATACACGCCCCACACACGCCCCACACACAGACATACATGGAGCACCCGGCGCTTCCTTGCGCGTCCGGTGTCACCATCGCGCAAGGAATGCACCGGCCTGCCGGACGGAGGGCTAGGGAGCACATTCCCAGTTGGTGCATTCCCAAATGGACAATGCCATTATGTTCTTCGCATCGCGTCGGAATATTCCCCTCAAAGAATCCACGGTCGACTGGCTGCCTGCCCGACCGTTGCCTGCCCCTTTGTCTGCTTGCCCGATTGGTCGACGCGCCGGCGGGTCTAGGACCCCCGCGCCGGTCGGGCCTACGGGGGCCTGCCCATGCCGCGGAGCAACCCACTGGAGGACACCCGCCAGCCGTGCGTGCGCCGGAAAGCGGGGCACGGCGCTCCGGTGTAGCCCGAGCCGGCGGTCGGCGGTGTGCACTCGCACGCCCCGGCGGTGCTCCCTCTCACTCATACGCCCAAACACCTGTTGACCCTTCGCGCGCGGCTAATGCGGCCGGGATGGGCGCGAGCGTCATCCGACTCGTGCGCACGAGGGGGGGGGGTGGGGGAGGGGGGCAAGCAGACAGCACGGGCGCGGTCCCGCCCCCTTGCTCCCCCGCTGGGTTGGATGTGGAGCCCTGGCAGGCCCGGGGGACCGTTGGTAGTCGCGAGGCTGCTCGCCCGTGCCATTCCGCCGATCAATTCCTCTTCCGGCGCCAAGGAAGCGTGGACCAACGACGGGCCCGGCCGGGCCAGAGCCGGCTGGACCAGGTCGCAGGGGACCCGGGGCAAGTATTGTTTTTTTCGCCTGCTGGTGGCCTGGTGCGGGTCACCCCGCCGCCCCCCCCCCCCCCAAGTCGGCCCCGTTGGTTCGGTCGGCTGGCGAGATCTCAGGGGGCGATTTCGCGCTCTCTCCGAGAGCCGAACGCGTGCCCGGCCGGGCGGTCCTCCCGGCCCAGGGGCCCTACGGCCGTTGCTCTGGGCCTCCTCCCCCCAAACCCGGGAGGGGGTCGATCTCGGCCCCACGGCCGCCCAGGGCCTTTGGCCCTCCCCCAGCCCCCTCCCCCTTCCCGTCCCTCGGAGCTCCGGCCCCTGGTGATGTGGTCCACGCAGGGGCGCCCGTGCGCGATTCGCCTGTGTTTCTCCGCACCCGCCCCTCCTGGGCCCCAGGTCGTTGCTTTGTCGGGGGGGGGGGGGGGGCATCCGTGTGGTATGCACGGGAATGGAGTGTCAGTGGAATAGACCCGCGGCCGGCCGGGCCGACCTCCGCTGAGTTCCAGCCCCGTCACATGCGCACATATCCCGCGACGGACGCGGGCAGACAGGCAGGCAGGCGCCTATGCACACCTTTATACGTGTTGCCGGTCGCATCGACACAAACACCCCCCCCCCCCCTGCCGGCCGGGCGTTCCCTCATCCAGCCGCACACACTCCAATTCAGTGTCACCTACACAGCCGGGCGAGCGCGTTCTGGCGGTGGCAAGGCGCGATCTCTCCACCCCCCCCCCTCTCTCTCTCTCTCTCTCTCTCTCACACACACGCACACGCGCACGCTAGGGAAGGCGGCCAGCTTGTCGCCCTGCGTCCCCCGTTTTGAGGATCAATGCTGTCACGAAGCCTCTTCAGCGCGTGCATCCCCCCCCCACCCCTTTAACCGCCACAGCCCCTTCGCGCTCTGCCCCACGTATCTCCGTCCCACCCCCGCCCCCTCCCTCTTTCCCTCTCTTGCCTCCTCCGGACACCCTCTTCCCTCTTCATACTCGCACCAAACATCGCAGAGATGTCCGCTGCGCAGGCGACTACCGAGCTCGGCGCCGGGCCGCGCGTCGAGACTTCGCTGGTCCTTGAGGTCGTCGAGGCGAAGGACCTTCGGCGTGAGGGCGGCGCCAGCGCCGCAGCCGGCCAGCCGGTTCCCGATGAGGGCGCCATCTTCTGCGGCGTCAAGGTCAACTCGCAACTTGTCCACACCACGGCCTCCACCACCGTTCGGAACAGCCTTTGGACCGACGTCCTGCACATGTACGTCGCCTCTGTGAGTGGGTGCCCCCATCGCCTGTGCCCGGCGCACCGGCGCACCCGCACGCACGTCCGTACTCACATACGGGCTCCCTCCCTCCCCCCCC